TTTCATGTCTTTGCTTGTATTCCGGCTGTTTTTCACGCAATGCACGGCTCAAACGAATCAATTGTAGCCGATACTAATCGCCAGGTTTCAGGAGCTCATAGTAAACAAGACCCTTTTGGTTCCATCAGATACAGAGCATGATCTTCGAACTATGAATGTTCGGCCGTGATGTTGATGTTGAGGTCGGTGGCAACGATTAATCGGGGTTAGCGTAGTATTTTTTCTTCTTCTTGAGGTTGTCGTATATAATATCCACTTGTTATCTCCAATCACAATCCGATGCCTTTTCTCTGTTGTCTTTGAATCAGCTGTTCGCAAGTGAAAAATCGCTTTTCAACGTCTCTCGGTTTCAGTTCATAAGACACCCAATTTTCTTGTTTTTGAACATTCCCATGGCTCTCAATCGTACAGAAATGGCTTGTTGAGTTACTTCTAATGATTCTGCAAGCTCCTCTTGCGTTTGACTCTGATCTTCTTCGAGTAATACTTCTAATTCTTTGTCTTCGAATTTTTTTGGCTGTCCAGAGCGAGGCTTTTCAACGCTGAAGTCCTTGAAACGTCGAATCCATTCCCTACATGATTTATCAGTTGGAGCAGTGTCACCTTCGCATAAACTTCGACAAGCATTCGATGGGCTTCAACCGCACTTTTCTTAAAACAGAAAATTAAAACCTCTCGCAAATGCTGCTTAATTAACACAAAATTCGACATTTCAAACACAGTAAAAATCAAGGTTTTTGTTTGAAACTCAAAGCGATATAAACTGAATATTATTAGATGTTTAATCTCTCTGAAACCGCAAAAATCAGCTAAACCATTCACAACAGCTGAAGCCATCTTTAGGGAAACGGATCAAACTAATATAATACTAGAAAAGGAAAAGACTATTATTTACACATTAAGCTACAAAATAATATAAGCAATAATAAACAAAGAGCATTAAAACGCTCTTTATTGTGAAATATCTCGATTCGAATTTGTTAACAATTGGTCTCACAGACATTTCGACCATTATCCGATCATCATCAGTATGAAACATAAGTCGATTTAAAATAATAGTTAATAACAATTTCTTAATAATGAAATTTATTGAGAGAATTACGATCGCATGGATGCATATATAAACTTGAATTTTTATTCTTCTTTACAATGATTTGTTTGACCATTCAAGGTTTACACGTTTAAATTTGTTACGAATGATCGTAACATCGTTCTATCTTCATTTAATCTAAATATGATCGTCTTAATATACAGAAATTCTGATTAATAACATTAGATCAACAACAATTGGATCAACAACAATTTTTCTAATATATAGCATATATATTAATAAAATATTTAATTTTCAGATTTACTTCATTCACCAACAGTATAGAAAATGAACCCTCAACGAAAAATCATAATAATTGCTGTGATAAACAAATAATTTCTTACAGAGGAACATTACTGATTTGTTAATAACTCGTCTCTTTAATGTCTCTTTCTTAATATTATATTTTTATGTTATATTTATATTTTATTTTTTAAAATACATAAAATTATTTTAAGTAAATGCACATCACAAACTCACTTTCCTGTTTCTATAATAATAAATAATAAAAAACAATAGCCAATGTTGGTAATAGTTATTGTGATAACAGACAGATTTGACTTTATTAAAATATTAATAATTATTAATATTAGTTCAGTTTTTATGTTGCAATTTCTTCATATCATTACAGGCGAATGCAGAGACTATATTCGTAAGGAACTGAAAAAATTATCCAGACAAATGTACGCTATTGAAGCTCTACTAAAAGAGAGGAATGCAGGATGAAGTGATGAGGTTGTAGCAAGAGCTGTTTGCCTCTAATGACGCTGAAATAATTCTTGCAATGCGAAAATCAGTTGGAAATGAATACCAACATGAGAAAACAATTTGTAAGTATATTCATATTGTCATATTTATTAAATATTACTTTACTTGTATTATCCGTTAGGAAAATTGTGTTTTCTCAGAAATTTACTCACCATCTTATAATTTTTAAATTTTATATTCAATTTCTCGTATCATCATTTTTTTATTTATTAAATTTGATAATTTTATATTGAACATTATTGAAAAAAATTTAATATTAAAGTATGACATAATGCAAATAGAGAATTAAATGGCAAAATTGCTACATAAAAAGATGTATGATGGTCGGTACCAAATTAACCATCGTGTATTTCATTTTCGCTATATACAATACATTTCTTCCATTTATAATATTCTATTTGTTATATTTTTGTTATATTTCTTGTAACTATATTATAGGAACATATGATATGTCGAATCGGAGGTTCGACGGGTAAGCAATTTATTAGAAGATACTTTATCACAAATTATCTCTAATGAAGTAGCCACTCAAATATCATGGATTAGAAGAGGTTAGAAGAATGGTGTAAACTTTAAATCCAGATCCAAACTAATATAATAGATAATATAGATAATATAGATAATATAGATATCCAAACTAATATAATAATCGGTAACATTTATTCTATTTACCTACTTTCCCATAACAACAAGGTTTAAAACATTTTTATGAGATTTGTGAGAAACATAGTCTTTTGCATGCAATCTTCGTGGCATCCATGAAATTCATCATAAATGTTATTTAAAAATATCGATGAGCTAAACATAATACTACATATCAAAGTATTGTATAAAGGCTCCTACAGCTTACAGATAATTTTAACAAGTGTGAATTACATAAATGCGAAAATTATATTTAAAATTAGATTGTAAGATTGAAGAAGAATGTCTACTGTTTCTGATATCAGATAAATGTCTAACTAATACATCTTAGTCGTTTCAATATTGCTCGGTGGTAATTAATAATTTTGGAAGCTTGGTTGCCCATAAGACTATAATATGCAGAGCACTATAATATAGGTATTCGCATCCGCTATTTTTAATCCTTTTCACTCTCTTGTTCCTTTATCCAATCCCTTGTTCTCTCTCTCCGCCACTGAGCTGAAAAGATTGAAGAGAAAAGAGAGAAAATTGAAGAGAGAACAACGAGTGGGGAAAGGACTAAAAATGGCGGATGCGAATACTTTTATATTTGTTTGAAATGTGCAAGTTTCTCATTGATTATTTAAAAAAAAAAATTTACATTGATGCAAAAGTGGAAAAGTGTAATCAATCAGAACAAACCTTATATTTAATTGATTAAAATATTATTTTATATTTTTATTTTTATTAATGCAATTATTTTAATTGTACATATTTCAGATTTGATGATGAAACGGTTACCAGGTTCGACGTCTGCCAAATTAAAAAAAGCCATCAAAGAATGGTTCTGTCGCTCAGATAACAAAATAAGAAGCGTTACAAAATAAAATAAACAATATTAGTATAAACAATATAATAAAAATATAATAAAACATTACTATATTAATTACTATATTAATGATACTATATATAATTTTTTTTAATAAATATAAAAAATATAAAATATATAAATGTAACATGCTACATATAATACAAATGATAAATATTTATATATTTTTTAGAGTAATAATTTACTGATTTTTATAAATAATAGTCTAATGGTATTTTTTCTTGGGACTGCGCAGTAGTGTTTCCATAAGAATATATACTGTTAAAATTATAGATTATATATTTGCACGGAGGCAATGCAAATTTGAACACGTTCTTATGGAAACACTGGATGGGTGCAGTCCCAACTGCGCAGAAAATGCGTAAGAAAAACATAACCTAGAGATAGATTTTCCCGATTTAAATATTTCCGCTATTGCAAGATGCGCATGCGCGCTACATTCTAGAATGTCTGTATGATGGTTGACTTAAAGTCGATTTACAATCGTCTTTAAAGTGAAACATTGTATGACTTCAAGACATTTCCAAGTCGTCTAAAGTCGATTTATGAACATCCATTTTTCAGACATCTAGAAGCTATAGTCGACTTAGAGTCAACTTTGTGCTAAGGTAACCTTATATATCAAGTACATTAATCGAATCAATACGAAAATTTTTATTCATGTTGTAATAATACAGTTGTTAACAATTGTAACAATTGTTACTATTATTACAACATTGCAAATGAATAAAAATTTTTGCATATGTACTGATTCGATTAATGTACGAAAGACTTGATATATAAAGTTATATTTTTTAATCATTTCGAAATTTATTACACGAAATTTATTTCATTACACATGCATTGACAATTTATATCTAAAGTATTAAAATATTTGAAAAGTTACATTAATAATTATGTCACTTATCATTAACGATTTGTAATTTTATTAAAAGTGACCACTGATGTAGACATATTACTATCACAAGAGGTCGAAGCGTGATCAATATGGCATATAGATACACCACAATATTGTGTACGACATACGACTACGACTTACGATTTGCGACTCGATTACGATCATTATTGTGCTGAAGCCATTATTGGTGATATGAATGTATGTGCTTTCTCGATTGGTACTGTCATTGTGTGAGCACGACAATCGACAATCGTAAGAGACGAAGAGACGACCAGACTCTGGTAGTTTTTTAGGGACTTCAGTCCATTCCATTCTCCGTTTCTCTTGATTTTTCAATCTCCCCGCAAGTTATGTAAGGATCCTTATAGCCTTTATGAAGGCTGCTATGAAGGCTTCTTTTGGGTTTTCCTTTCCCTCTTTTGGCGCGCTGCTACCGTCAGATGGCAGCAGGCGTCTGAATGGGGGGGGGGGATCCGTGCAATTGCTTGCATCATTCGTAAATCACATTTACTCTCTCATCTACTTTACATCTAATGACATGAACCTCAAGGGCCCAATAACAGTCCGATGACTGCGGGGCCAATCAACAAGAAAAAGAAAGGGTCTTTTACATAGAAATCGTAGATGATCGTGGAGTCTTAAGTCGTAGGAAACTGACCAATTCTAATCGAGTATTCTCCTTATATTTGATTGTGATTGGTTGGTTTCCTACAAATTAAGACTTCACAACCGTCTACACGATTTCTATGGATGCTTTCTATTTAATGATACAAATCGACACAAGTTAACACAAGTGTCGTTCTATCTTTGCCATTCTCAGAATATCAAGGTTAGAACATTTGTGTCGACTTGTATCATCAAATGGAAGTATCCTATATAGAGGACCCTAAAAAAATCCCTTGATTCTTTCTAATACACGGTGGCACCTGAATGATATTTCCGAACGCAACCCATGCGATAATCGAGTATTGCTGAATATTGTAAACGACGCGTTACATAAAAATCACATTACAGTGATGTTTTTTATTTTTTTTTTAACTTGTCAATAATTGTCATAAAAAATGCCATGTAGTGTAAAAAAATGTGTAAGCAATCTTAAATCAAAAAGTAAAGTACATTCTTTCCGGTAAGTAATATTGTAAGTATTGTAAAGACAAGTTAAATCTCAGTAAACCAACTAACAGTTATAACATTTATAAGAATTCCGCTAATTTTCATAAGAATTTTGAACCATTCACATCTAGTCATTAATTATATATAATTTTGTAGATAATAATGTTTTAAGAAGAAATAGTTTAGATCATCAATCTCCAGCCGAAAATAGTTCTGACTTCCCAATGTGCAATGTTATTAATTTGTTAGCTTATCGTCAGAACTATCCAACACGATCCAACACAAATATGTCATTAATGTATTCAGAAGATATTAATTCGTATATTGTTAGGAAGATATTTAACTTAAATATTAAATGATCAACATATAATAAGGGCAAAGCAGCAGTATGAACACCATTCTACATGTGCAATAATATTTTTTAATAGCATCTTTTCCTTCACCATTGTTCTGCTACAATTTTGTAGGTATCGTGTCTTATTAACATATCTGTATTCGAGCTTTAAGAAGTATTGAATTATCAATATCAATATGATAATTAGGGAGAACAGCACCTATATCACGGCTGAGTTCTATTCTGTATCATCCAGCCTAGAAAGTAGTTCAGTATTGCTCATCTTGGATATCTTGATTTTATTATTTTTATACATGATATGTACTTCTGAGTATATCAATAACATATTTATCGTGTTGAACAGCTTCGATGATAACCCAGCAAATGAGAATGGATTGAAATGAATTGAAATGGATTCAGATTTTCAGAAATACTGATTCACGAATGTTAAAATGAATGCTTTTCAATCTTGAATGCATTTTTATTTATTTATAGAAATTGCATGGAGCATATCTCTATGCCTTTCAATTTAAAAATAATATTAGCTTTTTCTGTTTCTATTGTGAATACTGTTCAATTCAAAATTTTGGATAGGAGAATGCAGTTTTTCAATCCAATTGAATCCAATTAAATCCAATTAAATCCAAAAAAAAAGTATTCGGTATTTTAAATACGCATTCAGATAGAAAAAAATTTCAATTTTAATTCATTCTCGTTTGCTGGGAAACCAACAAATAAATAAAATCATATCATTAGGAAGTCAGAATTACTTTTGATATGGATTTGAGAATCTAAATTTTTCTTATATATATAAATGCTATTGTTATCTACAAAGAATATAATGATTAACAGGTTCTGTATTTAAAGTAATAATAATAAATAAATTTCAATGTTAATGAGAGTCAGTGCGGAAGAGATTGTGCACAGTTATCAATAAGTAAAATTACTTCTTCATAACATTGATGTCTTTAATTTTGTAATCTTGAAAGTTTCAACTCGCTTTGAAGTCATCCTCAGCAATATTACAATTGAATTTCGTTTAATTTGCTTAAAAAGCGCCCAGTAAACGAGAATGGATTGAAATGAATTGAAATGGATTCAGATTTTCAGAAATATTGATTCACGAATGTTAAAATGAATACTTTTCAATCCTGAATGCACTTTTATTCATTTATAGGAATTGCATGGAGCATATCTCTATGCCTTTCAATCTAAAAATAATATTAGCTTTTTCTGTGCATTGTGAATACTGTTCAAAATTTTGAATAGAAAATGTAGTTTTTCAATCTAATTGCATCCAATTGAATCTAATTAAATAAAAAAAAGTATTTGCTATTTAAAATACGCATTCGGATAGAATAAAATTTCAATTCATTTTAATCCATTCTCGTTTGCTGGGTCCATCCAGAATGAATCATTCTCAGATTCCCAGAACTGTAATAGATTTTGATTGGTAAATGTATATGTTATTAATATTGAATCAAATAAAGAGGCGAAAGAAGCAACTCATCTCGAATAAAGCATTCAATAATGTAAGAAGATTTAGAAATTTGATTTTATTACGCGAAAATTTACATCGATAAAATAATGTGTTAGGAACATTTATAATAAAGATAATTTCAATACGTCTGAATGGTTTCATGTGTCATATACGTCTAACAAATATTTTATTGTATAGAGGTCAATTCAAAAGAAAAATATTGTGTCATAAATACATACAAAACAGAGAGATACATCAAGAGACATACATTAAGTCATAAAATAAAAAGTATAAGACTTATAACTATGATAAAGTTAGTTAAAAATGGAAATTGTAAAATCTAATTAATAAATTCAATAATGATAATGTAAGGAAATATCTGTGTGAGCCAACACTAGATATTCCTATATAATAATACATATATTAAAAATTTAAATACAGACGTTTCGATCCTAATATTAGATCCTTCTTCAATATAAAAATATTGATAACTATCCATAGAGATGTAAAATGTGTTTACTTGTCAAATCATCGTTAAATTGTTGTCAATAATTGAAAACTTCTATATCGCTTGTTATATTTTGTCAGATTTTGTCGGACAAATTGATCATGTTAGATGTACTTTACTAAAATTGAATCAATAGAATAAAATAGTATGATTAAAATTTAAAATTATATAAGTCAAATTCTCTAAAAACTTACATTAAAACTAGATTAATAATGATCTGTTACAAACTACTATGTGATTACAAAGAGATGTCGAGTGTGAGGTCAGAACGCAATAAGAATAACGCAAATATAGTAATAACGCAATAAGAGAACGCAACCAACAATACAAAAATAAAAATAAATGTAAACATAAAATTACTAATAAATATCTAGAATTTAAAACAAGGAAATTTTAAGCTTTGACCAATTCATGATACAAAGAGTTCAATAAATCCGTGTCATTTTGTAGATTTAAATCATTCCTTTGTTTTTTAATGAAAATTGCCTCTGAAATTAATCTTTTATTATTCTTCTTTTCTTCATCTAAAATTAAAATGTTATTCTAGTCAAAATCATAATTGTGCTTTCTATGTATATTTCATTGATGACAGACTGCGTTGCTGTGTTTCTATTAATGTGATTCCAATGTTCATTTATTCTTGTCTATAACAATCATCTGACACATAAAATGCGTCACAATTTTTATAATGAATCTTATATACTACGTTAGGACGTGAATAAACTGGTAATTTATTCTTCTGTCTTTTAATGAAGGAACTTAATTTGTTAATCCTCATGTAGGCCAAGCGTATAAACCGATTGTTTTTAAAAAATTTTTTGAATTTGTCGGAGATATGGATAATACATATGGTATGATAAAATATGTAATTTTTTCGTTTCATTTATTTTATTTATTATTGTTCACCATTAATTCTGTGTTATTAAATTGTTTGAATTTAAATAGTAACCTTTTTTGATATTCTTAAAAATTAAATCCAATGGATATCCGTTTCTTAATAAAATATTAATGATAAATTCGACATTTTTATTATAAAACATAGGACGCGACAAAAAAATTATTTTGTCATTTAAATTGATAATTGTGACATTTTATGGTACAATGGTATGGTACAATAAGAAAAGAAGTTCAAGTAATATATCGAGAAATTCGGCACTAAAATTCTCAATAATAAATGAGTTTTCCGGCGAATGTTTAAAATTTGTTATAATTAAGAGAAAATTTTTGTTTTTCTCCTCACAATGTAGAATTTATCACATCAGAGTCATAAATACATTGAAAATAATCTATTAAAATTAAAAACCAATAATGTAAACACTTTCAGAAATAAGTTTTCCCATACTTAGTACAAAATATTTAAAATGTAACGAAAAACAGATCTAATATAGACGAAATGAAATTTTAGATTCTTTACTAAACAATTCATTAAAGATAATCCACAAATACTGCTAGCGCGTGCAGACAAAGGAAATGTCCTAGTTATGAACAAATTTAATTATATTAACAAAGCTTTATTATCAGACACTAATACCTACACAATTGTAAAACATAATCCGAGCAACAAAAATTTGAGGGATCCAAAATCATTGTTAAAAATTGGAAACGACAAGAATTTGTGACCGACTACAATTATCTTAATTCGATGAATACAATATTATCGAATATGCGTTACCAAAAATTTAGCCAGGCTTCTTACGAATTATTATATCATCCATAGGAAGCCCTTTGCATAATTTAGCGACGTACTTTAGAATCTTAAACTTATGCCTTGAAGAATCGATGGAACATGTCAAAAATAGCTTTCAATTAGCTAAAGATATATCTCAGATACACTTATTGGACTCAGTTCTTGTATCACTCAATGTTATCTCTCTTTATACTAATGTCTGTAGATACGGTCATTGAGAATGTAGAAAATCGTTGATCAAATATACAAGATAAAATTAATTTATTTAAAATTAAATTCATAAAAGCAATAAAGTTAGTGTTCTACGTATTTCGTTTTTTCGTTTTTTCGTTTTTAACAGTAAGTATTATAAACAATTTTTTGGAGTATCTATAAGGTTCCCATTTTCTATTGCAGCGAATTTAATTATACAAGATTTGGAGAGGGTTTCTCTTAATAAATTAAAATTTATTTTAGAATTTTGCTACAGATATGTACGATATTGTTCGTTCCATTCAGGAACAAAATATTGATGAATTATTTAACTTTTACCTTATTAAGGGGAGGTCACTAGTTGTCGAACGATTCCTGTTCGTGCAAATTTCTTTGCGTCTTTCGGTAATTATAAATTATACTACATTTTATTATTTTTCAAAAAGTGCCAATATTTATTCAGAAAGTTGAAAATATGTTGGTGAATTTTTAGAGATTTTTTTAATCATTTTGAATACGTGAAAAAAATAGATTTTAGTGCCCTTGTTAATATGGATGAAGCATCAAATTGTACCTAGGGTAAGAATTAAGACTTTCAATGATTTTCATCCCAGACTGAAGTTCACAGAATTTGGGGATGACAGATTGAATTTCTTGGATCTAACTTTTTGATAAAAAAAAGGAAACAAATTGATACATGATTGATATCACAAATCGATTTTCTCGGCATCTTATTTGAACTTTTTTTCTTCCATGAAATAGGCACAATTATCAATTTAATTGACAGAGTAATTTTTTATTGCATTTTATGT